ATGTCCTGTCTTCGGTGTATTACTCAGACCCATTTCTTCACACAAATCCAATGTGGCCGTGCGTTGGTCGACAAGTTGCGGCGGAACTCTCTTTAAATCTCAGGGTTTTTTTATTTGGGTCCACACTGTATATATATTTGCAGCAAAGAAACGAGCAGAGTCAGACAAACCAGTTTTATTATTCCTAAACTTGCTAGGTATCTGCAAACTGACAGAAAACTTTAATTTCGTCGCGTGACTGATTCGCAATTATTAGAAGAAAGAAAAATAGGAACTTAGCGGAGTCCAGTACTTAATTGATATATCGAAGATTGTTATAAGGATGTTATTAGCATCAACTCACCTGACAGATCAGGCACACTGCTACTCAAATAAACGTATTTCAGCGCAGTTGGAAACCACAAAATTCTGTTCAATAGCAAACACTTCGCTAGGTATAAAAGGAATTAATAGTCGTAGGTGACACTCTCTGATACGCAATCCCAAATTCACTCCGCTCGCGAAGAACGACTATTTCTTGAAAATATGAATATACTTTTTTTCGACGCTCTAAATAAAAACTGGCATAGGTACCTCAAGGCAAATAGTAAATAGCTCCAGTGCAGTACTCGTGGGGTGATGATAAGCCCAAAACCAGAAATGAAAAGGATGAAATTGGAAAGTTGGATACTACCCTAACTCAGTTTCGCTACAGAGTTTTGTTGTATATATTCCCATTATAAACAATAATGATTCTTGGGGTAATAAAGACAATCAATCAAAGAAAAATTGGTGACTTGATCACCTTGCTTCATTAGTGGGAATGATAGATCATCTGACCATCTATCAAATATCTGGAGAGCTCAGGAATCATCAATGAGAGACAATACGGCTTTCGCACCGAAGATCTACTGGAGATCTACTTGCCTACGTCACCCATTTATGGCAATCTTCAATAGAAAAACACGGGGAATCTCTAGCTGTCGCGTTGGACATATCGAAAGCATTCGACCGTGTTTGGCACGAAGGACTCCTCCACAAACTACCATCATACGGCTTACCACCTCAGCTATGCCATCTCTTATCGAGTTTTCTTTCAGGCACATTGCTTCACGTGGTGGTGGACAGTGTATCAATTTCGGCGTTCCACAAGGATCAATTTTGGCACCAACATTATTCCTGCTTCATATCAATGATCTGTTGGGAGTAACAACTTGCCCCATCCACAGCTTTGCAGATGATAGTACCCTCCATACTGCGTTCTCTTCCAGAATTCCCATTTCTTCCCAGGAAACTAAGAACTCACGGCGCAGGCAGGTCAATGCTGTCAATGAAGATCTTGCTGAAATCACAGCCTGGGGAACCAACAACCTAGTTGAATTCAACGCCACCAAAACTCAAGCCTGCATTTTCTCTAGAAAGGCGGAACTCAGTATGCCCGACATTGTAATGTCTGGCTCCACCATCCCCACCAAGCCCACCATATCTATGCTCGGTATTTCCATCAGCAACACTCTTTCATGGGATAATCATGTCAGATCCATCGCAAAAGCTGCTTCACAAAAACTCGGATTCTTGTTCCGCGCGAAAAGCTACTTTACACCTCAACAGCTTCTCATGATCTACAAAGCGCAGATACGGCCTGTTCAGCACCAAAACATACACTGATTCTCTTAGATTCCATCCAGAGAAGAGCCATTCGCCTGGTGGGTGACGCCACACTCACTCACTCTTTGACATCATTGGAACACCGTAGAAAGGTCGGCGACCTTTCACTTTTCTATCGATACTTCCACGGGAAATGTGCTTCGGAAATCTTCACTATCATCCCTTCATTAGCAATACCAATCAGACGAACTAGACAAGCCCAGTCAGCACATCCTTTCGTTGTCAACCTCGAAAGATGTCGAACAGCACTTTATCAAGACTCCTTCATCCATAGAACGGCTAGGCTCTGGAATTCATTGCCTGTGGAAGTATTCCCAACAACATATAATCTCCAAAAGTTCAAAAAAAATTCCAATACCTACCTCCTGTCCCTATCCTCCCTAGGAACGCACGATGTTCTTTAAACATTATAGGGATTCCCTTTCGTGCGCTCCAAGCGATAAAAAAAAATTTAAAAAAAAACAGCATAAGAACTGACGTCACCATATTTTATATCCGACGTATCGAAGAACATGGCCAAATGGCGGCCATAACAGCGTGTTTGAAATGAGCTCTATAATTCAACAACTCTGAACAACACATAGACAGGAAATTAAAATTTCAAGACTAAGAGATTTTAGGTAAAGTTCGTGAATCAATTATCAGCTGGTGCAAGACAGTATGTTTCAGCTTTGCGAAGCCTCATCAGTTGCACTAGGCCAGCTGACAATCGATTCACAAAAGGTTACTACCAAGTAGTAGTACTTGGGCCCGTATTTATAGTCGTTTCCTCAAGAAATCCTCAAGTATTCCTTATATGAGGATTCCTTGAGGACTCCTCAGTACTTGACATTAAACTGGTTTTATAGACATCCCTTGAGTATTCCTTCTAAAAGGAGCCCTTACACTTGGCAACGGTACTCTGTGGCCAAATTTGTTGTTTCATGTTACGTATTTGTCACAAAATGTAAAAAGTCAAATTTGACAATGTTTACTGTTGAGTGTGGACATTGAAAGATTCAAAATTCTAATGATCTAGTAATAATCTTCAAAGGTTGGTTCAAACTAGGCCTAACAATAAAAACATTGAAAACGGATTCTTTCAAGCTGCAATGGAATAATATACCGGGGAGAGGGAGAATACTTACCGGATCGGGTGAAATTGGTAATATAAAAAATTGCAGAAATATAGGTACATTCAATAATGAAGTAGAAAGAGTGAAATGGATAAAATTAATCATGCCATTTTTTTACAAATATTATTCTTTGTTTGCCAATTTACACTTGTTGATATATTTTGAATGATATGTTTACCTATAGGTATATAATTATGTACTTCCTTATACCAGAGCCTATTCTGTCTGGAAGTTATTTGTTCAATAAATAAATAAAATAAAAAATAAATAAGAAGAAGAAAGGAAGAATATCCATTTGATTGAATACTTAGATACTTAGAATGAATCTGTGATTTTGTGCGGTTTCTTATTGAAAATGTATGTATTTAAATTTCATGAACAAATCATGAAGATGGTACCTATATATAATTGTGAATATTCCATTATTTGTAATATATACCCATTATTTGAATTAAAAAAAGATTTACTATTCAACTAAACTTGATACAGATTCTCCGTACAAATTTCTAGACTTTAACATTCCGATGTTGCGATAGTCTGCAGAATTGTGGCATTTTTGCCTTTCTGTATTAATATGGACGTAGGGGGGTCTATATTCGACGTACTGGAAAGGTATGGTTGGTTGAACAATCTACTTATACACCTTTGCACTTTTGCTACTAGATGGCTCTTAAAAGTATCGCAAGCAAGGTTGGTAGAACTGATTATAATTCGTATAGGAAGGTTGCCTCGATCGATAGTGCGGCAAGGGGGGAAACGGTCACTCGTGACGTCACAGGCAGTAAGACGACAAGTTGTCAACCTTAAAGCGACATGTCATGAAATGTTTACCAAATAGAGTATACAAACATGATACAAACTTCTTGGTCTGCTCAGCATATTTATATTAATTTATAGTATATTATACTTATAAGTAAGTACCATTATAAAATATGGATATTTACATATACTTCTGTATAATACCTTCAATATTCGAAATGAGAAGGCAATTTTGGATGGATCAGTAGTACAGAAAGGAATACCTATCTGAAATTTTGTTCCAGGGGCTATTTACCAGGTCGTGGTACCAGGTATGTGTGTTTTGAGGTATGGAGCATAATTATGGAGCTAGTGATTACTTATGCATTGATTATGAACCTACTCATCCTATAAATATCCTGCAAATCAGATAATGTGAACAAGAAACTACAGAAAATATAAGAATAATCAACTGATGATCCAGAAGTAGTAGCAGTGGACCAATATTCGTACACAACAGATCACTTATTTTATCAATATAACTCTGTATTCTGAAAAATTAACAAACTTTCCTAGATACCTATAGAAAATACAAGAGGAAATAGTATTTCATTGTTTGATTATATTGTAGTCAAAAACAGAGCAATTGATCGAAGTATTTGAGCATAAAAAAATAACAAAATATGATTCTGAACAAAATTAATGAAAAATAACACTACTATTATAAGTGAACCTATAATAAAGGATAGTTCAAGGAATCTCTCAAATACACATAGCTCCTCTTCGTTGGGTAACGTACTCTTGCTCAAATATCTCAACAAGAAAACAGGTGTGATATCTTCTGATGTCCATTTTACCCGATCAGCAAGAATCTCAACATTCACAACTGGTCTGGTTCTGATCATTTTTCCAAACTTCCATACTTATGGTGTTTCTCTTGTTGTATTTGGTATTATTGATGGGATTCCTACCTTGAGTTTTCTTCTCTTTGGTGTGTGATTTAGCTTTTCTGCTTGTGCCGTTCAAAATCCTCGGCATCGAAATGAGCAGAATATATTCGCCCAAAATTGAATCCATTTCTCACGAATAGACTCATCTTGTTGAAATTAATGGAAACACAAACTACATTCACTAGTCTTATTACACTTGTACGAATTTTAAGAAGAAGTGACCGAACAAATTATCATTTTTACATTTTTAAGTTCAAAATGGTTCAAATATTCGAAAATACTGACAACTGTCAACTCAATAATTGGCGCCGGCGTACATATCATACACGAAGTGTACGAAAGTGCTACATTTTTCGTGCAAAAGAAAGGGCCTATTACGTCATGAGTTACTCAAGGTTACTCGAGGGGTGCGATCGAGGCAACCTTCCTCTACAAAATAGTCATCAGTTCTACCAACCTTGATCGCAAGGTCCTTAACGGTACAGTGAAGAAATTGAATGCCATTTATTCACTACTAGTTCACTCTCCCAATCCAGGAAAAAAACGTTACCTAAATGCTGCTGGTGCGGATTGATGGCCAACGACTGCATGCAAAGCTGCAGTTTCGGCACGATGTGCTTGAGCAGGAAGGCGACGAACGCGCCCTTGGAGAGCGCCCGCTGCCAGGGCTGCAGCATCAGTTTGGCGGACCGATCGGAGGGATGCCAGTTGGCCAGGGCCGTGCCCAGTTTCTCTTGGATCACCGGGTATATTGTGGCCTGCAATCGGGCTTCTGGAAGTACAAGAAAATCGGTTGTGATGATGCTTATTGATTCGATAAAATGAGGTATACCGTTTGCATATTTACAAACCCAACCAGATGACGGCACCAGCGTGCTGAAATCTGTGAACCTGTGGACCCAACAGTGATGCAGTTCTCATAGGAGATGATAAATATTTATAATAGCCTACCCAACATAATAAAATCTATTAGATTCGTCACAAAATTTAAGTGTGAACTGAAGAAATATATTTTATCAATTTAACTCTCTCCTTGTATCAATTAATTCTGATTGAACTGTTTATCTTTCATTGTGTTGCATATTAGGTTTTATTTTATTTTTCGCGATAGAGATTAAGCCTACGCCACATCTCGGAGTTCTTGAAAGCTGTCAAATCGGCATCTTTACTTTGTATTCATTGTTTTTTTTTTTGTTTGTGCTTATTGGTCATAGTTTCAAAACGAACCGCTTAGGGGCCCGATTCTCGAATCCGTTGGAAATCCATGGAAAAAACTCGATATTTCCCATGGAAATTTGAGATGATGTATTCTTGAAATATTGTATGGAAAACTATTCCTACACATTTCAAGGGATCTGCTTTCCATGGTAATATCCATGGGAACAACATGTTTCCATACACTCATAAAATACGAAGTTATTTTCATTTGTGATGGGAGCTGAACCTTAGTGAAAAATCGGAAAAACATATGTATTGCAAAACATGGCAAACATAGATGAAATAGATCATCTAGACTAGAGGCTTTACAAAATTTGGAAGTGGCTGAAATCCTTGCTAGAAGACTAAGAAGAAGGTTTCTGCGTAGAAGGGACCAATTGAGTGTTTGTCTGCCGCACAATTTATTGAAGTTTTTCGTTTGTCCAAAGACATTACTAGAAAATTGGTAGGTACTTTAGAATCCTTATAAGTGAATTGGGGGTGAAATTTTCCTTTCCTCAAGCCTCAGATGCCTCCATTATTTCTATTAAAAGTCTTGTCTGCTATCTGCTTATACTACCACCGATTTTTTAATATTATTTGTATCCATATCCATTTCAATCAGAGGAAATATAGTAAATATACAATACAAAACAATCTCACAGTCGCAAAATTATATTATACCATAACCTCAAAGTTAGTCAAAATCAAAATGTCAACATTTCATTTCAATCATCCACCAATTACCAACATAAATTCTACTCATTTCATTGGTGAATTCATGTATCTATCTATCTGCGACATTCGGCACTTTTTCAATCCCCTGGGAAAAATGATTCCATCTAGTTCAAGAATAGGTGTCATGACAAATTATCATCTCCTATGAAAACTGAAAGCATTGGATCATTCTCCTATAGGATCGAATTCCTACAGATTCGAGAATCGGGCCCCAGAAGTGTTTCAGTTGTTGCCGTCTTTGTTTGTTTGTTGGGATAACATGTTAATTTCTATTCATATATAATAATTTTCAAGTAGGCTGAGTGGCATAATGGTGTGTCTTAGGGTTGGTTCCTTGATGCAAACTGACGTATGTGTCATCTTAACAGGGTACGGACAGATCCTCGTCTCCTTTACTCACTCTCCAATAGCAATAAAATGATTTGTCTTCTTTAATATCACGCGAAATTTCATCATGCTAACTTGGTTATTATTGGAGCTAGTACAGTAACTACGTACTTCTCGGAATAGGCCGGAAAAATTCTAGTTTCTCAAAGAAGTTTGCTGAAAAAATTAATTTGGGAAGCTTCACCATCTGGTCTGGTGATAGGTATAGGTGATTGCCTTGACTCACATGATCCAAAAACTAATATCAGATTCTCACATTACACTGTTTTATCCACCAACCAAATTAGGGCTAACATTTTCAGTTTCACCAGTTGGCGCTACTAAAACGTGAGGTCAATGTGAACGTCAAAACTCCCAGAATTTTTCCGGAGAGCCCTAAAGGCTGTGGCCAATTTCATATTTAGAAAATATTAAGAAAAAATAATGTAGAATATTTGAACAAATAGGCCCTAAAGGCTGTGGACTGTTTTATCAGAGATATTCGGAAAAAATGATGTAGAATATTATTAATATTTGAAAACCTCCATTCATCAATGAAAAATGAACTCTTAAAACAAACTAACCAGATAAAATATCTTGGAATTTGGTTTGATGACAGGTTGAAGTGGGACAAACATATTGATGTTCTGACAAAAAGAATATCTCCAATTATTGGTGCATTGAGAAGATGTCCCAAACTTGATATTAAAACTGCAAACATGATTCTCTACTCTCATATACTGAGTCGTATCAACTATTTAATAAATGTTTGGGGAACTTGTTCAAAAAACAATTTCAATAAAATATCAACATTATATAGAAAATCGTTAAAAGTGCTGTATCGTCTCCCATTTGATACACCAACCAATCTGATGTATTCTACATTACCGATCCCTACCCTTTCCTACTCAACATAAATTGAATATTAAATAAATAAACTATTCACTTTATTTATGCTGCCACATCAACAGGCAGACAGACAGTTCCTATCTCGGTTCCGATCCTACAGTAAAATATACTACACAAAAAAAGAAAAGAAAAAATACAGTACACATATAGATTAAAATACACTCAAGTATTGTGGAAAACAGTTGAGTAAAGATATAAAAATAAAGACGCTCATAACAGATTTTTGTTTCAAATAATTATACATGTACTAGCCTATACCTATGGGTTTTTGAGAATATCAAGGAGATGGAGAACAGCCTTTAATTTTGCTACTACTAAATGTAAAAATATCTATATCACAGTTACATTAATTTACAGCTCTTTGGCAATTTCCAAAGGGTGAGCAAGATTTAACATCAATGTAGAAAATGATATTATTTCTTCTCCGTAGTTTTACTTCGGGTACATGAATGTTTATATGACTAAGTAGATCAGGTGCATTGAATTTATCACTGATTATGTCTGAAACAAACAGCACATCATTGATATCTCTTCGGGACTCTAGTGTTCTTTGCTCAAATTCTGATAGTTGAGTAGTAGTAGTAGTTCACCTTGTCGCTCATTGATAGCGCCCAGTACTAAATAGAATTTCTGGCTTCATTTAACTCACCTAGAAGGGGAATCCATGGATGTATCCACAAATGTATCGGTACTGTATCGGTCAGTGGGTTCCAAGCGTTCACTTCGTCCAGTATTTTAGGTATTATTATTTGATCCAATACATTTTCCAAGATCCAAGGAGGTATGATGGCTTTCCAAGTTTCCACAAGGGTAATTAGTGTGTCACAATCTCTGGGATTCCATGAACTGTAAAATAGAAAAAATCAATTAGAAACATTCACTAGCATTGGTTCTGAGTTTAATTCCTGATTCTTTATTAGACTCTTTGAGAGATATATGAAAACAATCCTGACAATGGAGATGTTTTTTGATTCAATTTATCTTTGACATAATGATACAAATTCTAGAAAATATCGGTAACAGTAGGGAAGTGCTTTGAGGGTGTAAGTTTTTGCTATCATACAAAGAGTAAACTTTGGTGACATAACTATTACTATACTAAGGAAATGGAGTAGTATTTTTCAATTGATCTGAGCTACAGTGACGTCATTAGGGTTAGATATATTAACTTTAAATTCGAATTTCAGTGAAAATAGACTTGTTTATTTTCAAGAAAGGGAAAAACTTTCTAATTCTATTTAGTGTTTCCTAACAGTGGATCAGACTACTAAAGAGTCAACCATTATTCAGTCGAAATGATATTGAAAAGGTAGAAATTTCAAGAGAAATATAAGGAGGTTACCAAAATTTATTGAAAAAAAAAAGGATTAAGGAATATCTCCCCAACCCCCAACTACAGATTGGGCCTGTTTCAGTGGGAAATATTATGTCATCATTTGGAAGCAATAAGCCAAACTAGTTCACTATCATAAACTGTTTTCTCCTCAAAGCTCTACAAAATTTCTTGAATAATCCATGATAATTAATGACATGAAAAACGGAATATTTATGATTGTCATTTACAGATTTTTCAACATAACCTATATATTCTTTTTTTATGACGGTCTTTTGACTTGCTTGTCATATTGATAATTTGTATTATTCATTCCACTCAATTGCTCCTGATATTTGATTGCCAGTATTCGACGAGAAAATCGGGTCGATTCTGTTCGGATCTTGTTATAACATTGCCAAGATAATAATATTGTTATGATCATAACATAATATTGCTATGAAGTTCTGTATTCTGTTTGCAGAGTAACTGCAAGACTGTTTATAAGTTCAAGTGATAGCAATATTGTTGAAAAATTGAGAATTTTTGAGCTGACAACACTGTTTTCAACTCATTGTTTAAATGTTAGGTATCGATTTTGCCATTATTTCATGAAGAAGAAGAGTTCATGATTATCTAACCTCTCGAATTAGTCAGTATTGCACTGACATTTTACAAAATTATATTGTTCAAATCGAGAGATTTTGTATTTGCTGAATCTGGTCGTCGTTGTGCGACTGGCAAGTAATCAATCATGTCCCTGAAATGAGAAAACAACTAAAAGCCGGATGAAAATAATCGTGATTTTTTTTTATATTCTAGCAAAATAGCTTGATAAACTATCCATCAGGCAACTGAAATTTCTCTGATATGCCGAAATTGTAGTCTCATATTTCCGCTACAAATTGGAACTTCAAGAAAAGGTTTTCAAGTAGTTGGTGACAGTAGTGAACCTATCCTATATGTTTGTAATCAACATTTTATGTTTTTCAATAATTCTTCTACGAATTGAAACTTTGAGGAAAGGTTTTCGAGTAGTCAATGCCACAACTGAACTCCCATATGTTTTTAATCAACTATTTTCTGAATTTTCATACAGTTGGAAGAATTTGTAGTGCAAAATCAAAGAATCCACTACCTTGTTATAAGATGGCAAGCACAAAATTGACGTTGCCGAGATAGCAAGAAAGCTGACCTGATGTCATTGAAATTGACAGATCATATTGCCAAAAATCCATGATTAGAATTCCACTTTTTCGAATCTTGCTATGATAGCAATATCTTCTCTACAACCATATTGCTATTTGCAAACAGAATCGACCCGAATGACTATTTCACTCATCTTAAAATTCTCACAAAATCTGACTAATCACAAGCCAAAGACAACTTGTATTATTGGGACTATTTCACTCATCTTGAGATTCTTACAGAATCTGACCAATCGCAAGCCAAAGATAACTTGTGTTATCAGTAGTAATACTATAAGTTCTTCAAGAGTTCTTCAAAATATTCTGGTTATACATCGGTACAGTTGAAATTATCCAACCCCGAAGCGACACGATTGGTAATTGTGCAAGAAGTTTGAGATGTATAACCTTGATATTTCAAAGTTCAAATTGTTTTCAATGCAATTATTTTTTGTCAACGTCAAAATTTTACGACGCGCTTTGTTTGTATGTAACAATAGGAATTGTTTAATATGGAAATGAAAATAATTCTAAATTTCTGATTGGTAGAGTTCCTCTATGTATTTTCACATATATTCGAAATTATACAAAGTAACCAACTCAATTGAACATTCAGATTGGTTTAAAATGATATGAACACTAGCTGTCTTTCAATTCTGATTGGTCTAAGTTGGTGGTTTCAACGATGTAACCGTAGATAGCAAATCAAACTCTGTCAGTTTGGTTATATGGCTTAATTTTATAAAAGCTTCTAATGCTTTGTGAAATAGTCTAGCAAAATACCAGTCTGTTCTGAATATCTCCTCATAATTCTGCCTCTCATTGTTAACTCAATTGTGTAGTCGGGAAAGTAGTTGTTTTCTGTTGAATAAACCGAGAGAGAGTTGATATTTTCATCACGTAGAGAATGCGTATTCTGAATATATTTCTTTGTACAGGGTGATTCAGAATTCGACGTAAATATTCCAAGGATTTATTGTTGGGATCAAAATAAGAGTTTTTCTGCTTATAAACATGTACATGTACAGACTTTTTCTCTTAAAATGTTCTCTGGAATACGTCACTTGAATATTCAAACATACTATGTTACACTCTGTATAAGGAGATCAAAATAAAATAGGTATGTGGTTTAAATTCCACAAGTGTGTATTCATAATTTGTATATCATAGAAGACAACACATCTGGTGAATTTAGAATGGATATCATCTCAGTCTCAGAAGATTTTATCTTCTTTATATAATTATTCCTCTGATTTTCTTCAGATATAGTCATGGTGGAAATATAATATGGTGTGCTACTCAGGTATCTTGAATTCGTCTTTTCTGCGCATAACGTCATTGAAAGTCTATAATAATAATGATAATGATATAAGTTTATTCAAAAACGTTTACAAAATATACAGATAGGTATTTTGAATAAACTGGGTAAAACCTTATGAAGTGAACATTGTAGTGAGGATTCAAAAAAAAAAAATGTACATAGGTCAATAAATATTTAACAATATCAAATTATCACAAGGGAAAAATTGTCTCATTAGGAAATGTGACATCATGTATATAATTCATATATAGTGTACTGAGCATTTCATTCAATTCGCATAATTATTTATATTTGTATATACTTACGATAATTATTTAGATGTTTCCAATTATATTATTGAATGTTAATTAAAGAGATAAACTCGCACCGAAATGGACACGGCGACTCGGGCGAACTGATGACTGAGCTCAGACTGGGAGCAATGGTTTTACTCGCAGTGACGTATACGAAGATCCGTCCTAGCACACCATACTATAATTCCACCATGGACATAGTAGTCGATGTATTGGGTGTGAAGTGAATTCCGCATATGTAGCTATGATCTCATTGGTGAGGAATATTCCACTATTAGTGCTTATCGGTATATTACGTCATTAAGAGCTAGCCGTTTCGGGTAGAAATGTTCATTGATGAGAAAGGTATGAGATAATTTTAAATGATGATTTTATCAAATAATATTTATAATTGGAGACATCAGCATAAAATACATCAATAGTCTGCCTATTAGTTATTATTTGTATCAACTAATCAGGAGAAGGAAGGAAGGCAATGTGGTTGTTAGGTTAATACCCTGTTGATTGTGTTGAAGTTAAAGGGCTATTTATGCAGTATCAAATTTTTAATGACAGAATAGTATAAGAATATTTTCCTAGATGTCCCAGTAGCAAGTTGACGCTTCATCAGCTCAACCCAACCAAAGTTTTTCAATAGGGCAGCCATTTTGAAGGAAATTATCACAATTGAAGGGGCAAGTGGAAGAAGGGGCCAAGTAACATTTTCTGGAAGAAGGTGTTACGTCCATATGTAACTTGTCCCGTTAGGATTTGTTTCTATTCTCCATATCTGAGCAGATACACAGTGGTAGAAGGGGCTAGGTAGATTATATTGAATATCGAGAACGCAATGAAAGAAGGAGCTATGTGCCCGTGCCTACATGTCAGGAAATGGAAGAAGGGGTTATATACGCATAAATCCAGATGTCTATCAAAAAATTATATGATAGCAAAATGCTGTAAATCATAAAAATTCAACCTAAAAATATTCCTCACAATTGCATTAATCCAATTATTAAACTACCTTCCATTAAAAAATGCCAGCTAACTTTACTTAATCCAATTTTTCTCATGAATTCATATTAGTAACATAACTCCTTCTCCCACTAGCCCCTTCAATTATCTATTGACATTTTAATAATTCGTCTGTGAACCTGTAGTATTTATCAAACATTTGAATGATATATCATTATTACTAACTACTTCAAAGATTTCTTCTGAAATGTACAATGAATGTGAAATAAAAAATTGGTACACATGCTTTATGGACATTATTGTCGCAGCTGTAACTTTTGAGCAATGCGTGCGACAATAAAGTATCTCATAAAACTTGCATAATAATATTCTCTAACAACTTCATCTGGAATGTTTCTCTAAGTACTTCAAATCGTTATAAAAAATAATCACGAAATTTCCAAACCAAACTCAAATAGCAGAACCCAAAGTACTCTCCAAAATAGAGAGAAAAAGATACAGAGAAATAGAGAGAGATAAGACCCTCTAGCAAAAACACAAACTAAATCGTCTGACTTACCTAACACAAGTTCTCACAACAGGCATCCAAGTATGCCAAATGAGACTATCAAACGGCTGTATTCCCGATTTATTACCTTCTAGATTCCCACGGTGCCTTGTCCTCTTGTCCAGAATGTCCGTCCACTGGGCGAACACGTCAAGATAGCGATCGGGCTGGGCCAGCGGGCTCCAGCTGGCCAACGCTGACGTCAGAAGGGGGCCGATCAGGCCGGGCGCCAATTCGGACAGTTCGTAAACGGTGTATTCCTCTTCATAGCGCTCCTGAAAGTTCATTTTTCTTATATAGAAGTGAGCGATAATTTTTTTTGTCGGTTACTCGATCGAAACGATACATATAATAATGAAGATGATGGAAAGCCCTAATTTCGAATGACAACGCAAAATGAAAAAACTCCACCGCCCCGCGTGAGAGTCGAACTCGCAACCTTTGGGTTACATGCCCAACGCTCTGCCAATTGAACTAACGGGTCATCCGTTGATCAATCGGCAGGAAGGTCGAGTTCTCATCACACACCAGGCGGCAGAATCCCTCCAAATCCCAAAGTCACTCGAAATCATGCACTATATGAAGCATCACTGGCAGGATGGTAAAATGGGCAGGTTGTGGAGATGAGTGTGTGGTCAAAATTGCCAAGAGGAGCTTGTACATCTATGGTGTAGGGTGCTGAATTATTAGTGAGGAATAAGTCAAGCATGTTAGCTGAATGGTTATTGGCATCAGAAATTCGCGTGGGTTCTTTGATAAGCTGCTCTAAGCCGTGAGTGATGGAGAAAGCCTCGGCTTGTCGCCCAGCTTCATCCGTTCTGCTGGATGGTTCTGTTGAATTTGATCAAGCTTCAGAGACAATAATTCGAAGAGCTCTTCATAGGATGGATCATTTGGTGATAAGTAGAGACAACAAAGGTATTTGGTCTGTTTCTGGCTATCGAGTTTAAACCACATGACATCAAACTTATTTGGTTCCAAAGTTTTTTCTCGTTGACATGAGAGATTCGTTTTAGAGTAGAGGCAGAGATCTTCCTTGAATCTGGAACGTGTGTGGAGTTCGTACCAAGGACAGAGCAGATAGGTCGTATTGGTGGATGGGTTGAACTGTGTCTCAGTAAGAGCCAATATGTCTGGCTTTTCAATTTGAAGGTGTCGATGGACATCGTTGATGTTCTTACTTAGACCTCGGATGTGTGTGAACAATAACAGGCCCTTTTATCTCTACGCCGGTACCCAGGCCGGATGATGACGGATTCATCGGATAAGGGGGCCATAGTTGAAGCCAAACGTACTCCTCTATATCTACGCCTATACCCAGGCAGGATAACAACAGATTCGTTGGATAAAAGAAGTCGAAAGATAATATTACATAACTGTATGTAATTCTTGAGAAAATTGTATTACCTGTTCTGGAGAAATTGTTACTGAAAGGAGACAGAAATCCAATAACCCTTAAAGGAAGATGTAGAAAAATAATGAAAACGAAATAAGAGCTTATTGCTTACCATTAGTGATAACAGAAACTGTAACAATTCTAAGGAACTAATTAGTCTATTTGGAGATAAAATTTAACTTGAATCATAGCAACTAGATCACAAACAACAAGTGCAAATACATTGAAAACAGCGCATATACAATACTAGACTGTGAATTAAAAGGGAAGTAAAAAACCTCAATAAATTCGCAGCATGGTTTGGTGTACAACTAGTTTTGGGCGCGATTGCCAGGTATAATTATTTACAAATTTCTTGGAAACAATGAAAAACTACTCAGGATACCTGCAAGTTAGAATTATATTCTGACCCTATTCATAAACTTCACGGAGAAATAAAAATCTCAATACAGGAAACTTCCCCACTGGCACTTGTTTGGGGAAATGAAAGTCCATAAATAATGAAATCCAGTTGAGTCGTCCCCAATATCCAAAACAACATTTTCAATCAATCAGAAAATGGATACCAGTCAAAACACTTTTCAAGTTATTGTAATGTGAAATAGGTGATATCTACAAAATGTGTCCACTTTTTGGTTTGAACTGATACAATATTTTTACACATCTTACAACTTCTGTAATCTACATTGTATAGCCCCAATTCAAGACAAGATGTATGTCGTCTAAGCATGTATTATGAGTAGATAGTTTCACTTACCTGTAGATCTTTGAAGATAGCAGCAATTTGTCCTAGTGAGTATCCTTGAGAAGGATCCATCAGTTTATTAACCACGTCTATAACTTCTTGTAGGTTTTTTAATCCATCATCCTCCTTTCTTAACACATCCTTTATAGATTTTTCTTCCTGTTCTAGTGCCACAATTTTATCCTCGTTGTGTCTAATATTGCGATCTATCCTTATAATATCCTAGAAATATATAAAATAAGGTAGTTGAAATTGGGATCTCCTGAATCCAATTCAATATGCTTTATTGTCAAAAGAAAACATTATTCTTATCAAATGTCCTTTATCAAGAACTCAGTTCTCCGTTTTACCTGGGTTCTTTGAATCAACGCAAATTGGCCTGTTACCTTATTTTTTTAGTTTTTTATCATTTCTCTCCACACTTCAATTTAATTATTTTTTAGAAATCATGTTTCGAAATTGTTTAAATCATGATGCAACAGGCAACCTGGTGCGCATGGCATGAAATTATGGTTATGCACAAAATAAAACAATGTAATGCTGTATGCTGTTTCCATAGATGGTCATGGGAAATAGTATATTGTTTAACGAGCAGGGAATGATAGATATTTCCCAGAAGACTGAAGACAATAGCTAATTTTTCTATTTCTTGGGCTTGTTTTTCTCAAGTATCATTAGACGGAGCTGTCATTGCTTGAAACTTTACACTCCATGAAAGATAACATTTATTGTGGAATAATAAAACAATGAAGTGATTGTCTTATCAGATGAGGAAATGAAATTAAAGACATACAATGTACATCATTGATTTATCGAAAACGGTAAAACGAGAGCTGTTTTATGTTAAAGCTGTAAAAAAAGTTGTTAGCGGACCTGTTCACACATATCGACCAATAAATCCAGATTATGCTGCATTTCTGGCAACGCAAAGTTAGAACATTTTTTATGTACAACATCTTCGTAGTGTTCAACGCCCGGTGGGGCCTTAAGACCGCTCAAAGCGTGATAGCCACTGAGCACCCGTTGTTGGGGTCCTGTCATGTCGATTACCTTCACTTTACTAAGTTCGCTGAAAAATAAAAGAGTTTAGCTTCAATGATGATGAAAAACAAATAAATATTTCAGAAAAGATGCTATATACAGGTTGATCCACGGTGGGTGGCACATTAGACGTTTCTGGTGAACCAGACAAGGATCATTTTGAAAATTCGATGGAGTGCATATTCGGACATTATCAACCCAACTGAAATATTTTCGACAATGCGGTGTTTTCACTTCAGTTAGGAAGTAGTAAAATAATAATATTTATTTTCCAATGGACACGATATACAAGTATAGGAAGTTAAAAAATAGTCGAATATACCTGACAGAGGCACTAATGAATATAGGAAGTGCTAAAATATTGTAGAACATATATAAAGGAGCAATTCACAAAGATATACAATAAAGAGTAAGATACAAAAATTATAAGTACTCAAAGTGGTTGAGATGAACTAACATGAATAAAATGAAAACACTAACCCTGTACATGTGGAGCAAAATACTCCTCCAGTGTATAGGGACATTTTTTAATGACGAAATGTTTTAACCTATATTTGAAACTATTCAAGCTCACAATATTTTTGACCTCACGCGGGAGATGATCGAATACTCTCAGTCCTAAGTATGACATTTTTCTACAAGAATGTGTTTTTGGAACCTTCGCTATAATTCTGAGGACCTTCTTTTGTGCAATAAACAAATCCTGTGATAATGTGGATCCACCCCAAAGAAGAATACCATAACGTATTCTCGAAGCAACTTGAGCATGATAAAACATCATCAATAATTGTTCTTCAAGCAACTTTGGTATTTCCAATGGAACACCGTATAATATATTAAATATTTCTTAAAATCTCAATCAACGTTTCTTGATATCTCCCTATAACTATCTTTCAACAAAATTTGGTTTGAGGTTAGGTGATACTTGGCGGCTCCTCATCTTCTTTTCTTCAATACAGGGTGGTGAGAAATACAGTTTCTTCGTTTGCTTGAAAAAGTCACAGATTTTTTGTATCTCTTGGAGTGCACGAAAAGAAATTCTTAAAATCTTCATGGAACATCGTGAGTACCTAGGGACGATAGGAAGAGAGGGTAGGTGTTGGGATTATTTTTTAACTTTTGGAGGTTGTAAGTCCTTGGGCATACTTCCATTGGCAAAGAATTCCAAAGCTTCGCCGTTCTGTAGATGAACGAGTTTTGGTAGAGTGTTGAAAATGTCGATATTATTAGGAAACTGTCACAACATCACAACGTTTCTGTCGAATAGTAATCATGGCCAGCTCAACAAATACCGAATGGGGATATAAATGCTCTCAACTTTGAAACTTGACTAGTCAGGTATTATAGGCATGATTTACATAGATAGGAAGCAAATGTCAGCAGCTTTCCAAATTTCCAACAGTATACAGGGTGATCCATTAGAAATAATCAACTTTCAGTCAGAAGAAACTATCTTTTTAACCACCCTGTATTAAAGTAACGAAGATTAGGCTGATAAAATAATTAGAATTAGTTTTCATTTCGAAAACGGTAACAGATAGGTATAGAGAAATACCAAGAAAAGTTGTTGGTGGATTGATGGAGATTCTAAAAATGATATTATATATAGGGTGTTCCTATGAAAAATCGAAGTGCTACTAGATAGATAGATAGATTCGGTTATTGTGTTATGAAAAATAGTTTCATCACAAGAGTTCGAATTACAAGAGATCATAATTATGCAATAACAGTGACTGATCTGAGTGAAATGAATAAAGTGAGGAGAAAAAGAAAATGAATAAAGTGAGGAGAAAAAGAAAATGAAGCTAGAAAATGAAAAAGAAACATTGTTTCATAGTTATACAAATTTCCATATGTACATACCTACATATACAAGTTTTATACAGCTGTATTCAGAAACAAAGTGTATTACAGAGATAAATTAACGTCATTCTATTTGCGTAAATGGGCTATCGGGAATGATTGTTTACCAAATGTTTACAGTAAAGTTGTCAAAGGTTCTCAAAAACACAAAGCATTGACTGAGCCAGTTTTACAGAAGCAGAACTAGGATCCTGTAAACCTCTCTTTTTAACACGTGTACGTTTTTTTTTATTGAATACCTACCTACAACCCGAGAGAGCAACAAAAACAATCCCTAATAGCTTAAAATTCATTCATTTATAATGAATGCTCGTAACTTCATAATATTCAACTAGCGAAAAAGGCCAAATACTCAAGAGGAATGCAATGGTCACAAAGAGAGAGAAAGTCAAAGTCATTAACACATACTAGTTCATAAAATGAACGACAATCGTAGATAACGAGAGAAAAACAACTACTTTCCTGGCTATATGCCACGCAGAACATTGCATTACATCCTCCCGATGTTGAGTCAGGTTCGCACCAGATAGCGGTCAAGAAGCTATCTGGGACAGCCCTGTACTGATGAGAGCCAAGAGCTCGAAACCGGTCTGCAGGTAGTCAGCGTTCCTGAACCACTTAAGCGCAGCTCAGCGTTTAGGAAGGAAACACGTGCGATTTTATTCGTTTATACGAACTATCGCATAGATTTCGGGAGGATGTAATGCAATGTTCTGCGTGGCATATAGCCAGGAAAGGTTGTTTTTCTCTCGTTATCTACCATTGTCGTTCATTTTATGAACTAGTATGTGGTAATGACTTTGAGTTTCTCTCTCTTTGTTCATAATATTCATCAAAGTATGCACAAGCTTTGTTAGATATACAATGTTATGGGTGTTGAGTAGAAGTACTAGATCATCAATACCTCTGAATTCTGACTAAATCACGTTTTGCCTTATGCCTGAATAGATAGGGCATTCAAACAAAATATGTTGCAGTGATTCAGTTACTTGTAGATTGCAAATTGAGCAAAACTTCTGTAGGGTCAATGATGTGAACGGAACCATAAATGGAACCATGAAATGAGAACATCAAAAACTTTTTGCTGCAAGTCCTGATTTGGGCGATAATACGCGTTATGTAAATTGACGAGGAAACACTTAGGTAGGATTCGGATAGTTCGTAGACTGATTGGCTATTATACAGGGTGTTTCATAATTGAATGTCAATATTCGAGGAGGCGATCCTTGGGCCCATACTAAGAAGAAAGTTTCATATGAACGTATGACCTAAACGTCCTAACTTTTGAGATATAGGGTGGTAAAAATCTCAAAAATTAATATAGCCTACTCGAATGAAAAGTTATAATTCCAAAATACCAAATTCGAATACAAAGTTCATAAACTATGAATTGTATTTTATTGATTGATTGATATTAATTGATCTTAAAAGTAAAATCTATTTCTCTGCATTGTGATATTGTCATATTAACGATATTGCTATAATCATGTAGTGAAAAGCTTTCTATTTTTTAAGAGAAAACCATGCATCAGATTGAAAAAATTGTGATGATCAAATTTGCTTAGAAATAATTGGGAATTTCAGAAATGATTTCAATTTCGAAATCAATCAGTGGCGTACCATCAATGTCTGCCAAAATAGGTATGTGAAATTCCATTCAAACGCCACTGGTGGCAACCAAAAAAAATGTGGTACACTAACTGATGCCTCTTGATACATAGTACATGTATGCCAGATTTCATTAGAATATCTGAAGTGGTATTACAGATATTAACGAAAAACTATCAATTTTTGAGAACTTTACCACCCTGTATCTCAAAAGTTAAGACGTTTAGGTCATACGTTTATACAAAACTTTCTCCTTAGAATGGGCCCAAAGATCGCCTTCCCAAATATTGACATTCAATTATAAAACACCCTGTATATGAGCGGAAAGGAAAAATTCACAAGTCTTTCTGAGTCGAGAGATTATAGCTTCCGTTTGAATTTACTGATAATATCATCCATTAGTCTTTTGGATTGATCATTCAGAATTTTCTGCCATAGGTTTGCACAATCTGCAAATGAGAAGAATTCTTTCACCTGCAAAAGCCAATTAAATTTATTATCATTCTGCTCTGAAACAAGTAAACATTCATAGCAAATTTTGAATAGTCTCGTGTTGTTCCTTGTTTTCAATTTATTGAGCCAAGTTAAAGAGGATTTGAGTATTAGCTGCTACTATTAACTATAATATTTTAGTTCGGTAGAGAATGTCCGAATATGCTCTCCATGAAATTTTCAAAGTTATCCCACGTCTGGTTCACCAGAAACAACTTATGTGCCATCCACTGTGAATCTGCCTGTATATATTATTTCCACAAGCTTCTCAAATACATGACATGTTTCGGTAGCACTATAGCTTTTTCAAGTGACATACCCATAAAGTGAATTAATCTATTACCTGAAAAGCTACTGTGATAGCAAAACATGTAATGTATCCGGGAATTTTGTGGAGATCACATCATTTGTAACGTTTTTCCAATTATTATGGATTCTGTCAAGTGACGGTAAAGTCAATTTAAAAATTTCAGCCTAATACATTTCTTGCATATTAGGCAATTCATGCATTAGTTAGGTTCCACCTGTTGGAGATTCTTAATTTAAAGTGTAATACTCAATTTTTACCTTGCATTTCCCAAATGTCTAAAAGCTCCAGGACGTTTACCTTTTTCAATAACGTCATCGACACTTCGATAGTAATATCTCGATTTTTTATTGAGGGATTCTGTTTTCTTCCATTTAGATTCCCCTTTAGTAATTTCATTTTCATCGTCGTCAAATTCTGATTTCACTAATTGCTCCTGAAATAAAATATTAGGAAAACTTCTGGTGTAGGCATTCTTCATTAAAGAAACTTGTGTGTGCAGGACCACACGTCGGAAGTGATAACCTATGGTCGGTCAGTATTTCCCATATCTTTTGGACAATACGGGGGAAATCATAATGAAGTAATATTAATTGTATGTAATATTTCCACGTTCTTGCGAAAAGGATGAACTAGAAGTAATAAGATGGAGACATTTCAAGGATGAGAAGTTTCAGATTGCATCTTGTCAAAAGAATTTATTACTCACCCTGTGTATTATAAATGAAGTGAATGATGCATTGTAATCCGAGCGAGAACATAATATGATTGGACTAAAATGGAAGAAGTGGACATAGAAATTGGATAAGGAGGATAACTTCTACTAGTTTATATGAAAAAAAAATGGTGAAAGATATTATTCCCAAATACCAAATGACACAATAAAGTGTCCGAAAATGTATGAGTACGTTTTGTTGATGCCCCATTTTGATAAAAATTCACAAAATGATGAGTTGATTACTGTGTGATGAAAATATGGGTTATAATACATGAATGTGTTTCTTGTTGTTGTTGTTGATATTTCCTGGTCAAATTGCCGAAAATTGCACTAACAGAGAAGTTGGGAAAAATTTGCCCCTAGCCTCACGCAGGCTACTACTAGAGAACAGATATGTTTGTGTTCAGATAGATGATTGCTTCTCTGACCAATATCCTGTATTGAGTGGAATCCTCCAAGGATATGTACTTGGTCCTCTGTGATTTTTCTGTTACACATCAGATTCATCACATATTTTCAAGTCAACCTGTTCTTTTTATGCTTATGACACAAAACTTTACAATAATACAAAATGATAGCATATATTGCAAAATGACTTAATTGCCTTATACAACTGGAGCTGTGAGTGGTTACTACTACTGAATATTGATAAATGAGTTGTACTCCAACTTGGTAAAAATAATCCAGGACAAAATTATATCATGAATGATGAGCAATTCGTGAAGGTTGAATGCCACAATGATCTTGGAGTTACCATAACCAGCAATTTAATGTGGTCACAACATATTTCAAACATATGCAAACGAGCGAATACAAAATTGTACCTCTTGAAATTTTGTTTTCAAAAACGTCACCTGAAACTTTCACTAACCTCTACAAAGTTTATGTTAGGCCAATCCTAGAATACGGAGGACAAGTGTGGAGCCCGGAGTTGATCAGAGATCGTAACTTGGAATCTGTGCAACAACGAGCAACCCGAATGTCCTTCGGTCTCAGAAGACCATCATACCATGAACGTTTCACTCAGTTAAGCCTGACAACATTGGAAAAACGAAGACATCGTGGAGAATTGATCCTAATTTATCGGATTCTTCATGGACACCTACCCTCACTGAGTGATATGTTCCAGATAAATGCTGATATACGATTAAGAGGACATAATTTCAAACTTATGAATGAACAGTTCAGGTCATCAAAACGGCAGAACTTCATAGTTAATCGTGTTTTCTCGGCATGAAACAACCTGGATGCAGACATAGCTAATGCACCCTCAGTATCATCATTCAAAAGTCGATTAGATCGTATTACTGGGTAAATTGTTTTTTTTTTTTCAGTTTGAATCGCATTATATATGTTTATTTTATTTCAAAAATGTTCAATTTCTATCCAATATTTCTAATTGTTTTTCTATTTCATTTCAATCTAATTGTTTGTCTAGTAGCTATTGACATATACAGTGTGAAGACTTTAACTGGAATAAATTCGTTAGCGGGGAGGTGAATATGTTTTCTAAAAATTCCCGGCATACGTCAACGATTCAATGTATTTACCAACCTTCTACAAGCAATATCGAGAATATATCTAGCTAAAACCAACCTCAACATAATTTTTTCAAATGTAACCCTATGGCTTGTGACCCCTCATTGGAAAGTTGGTGGGAGAGGAATCCAGCGTACTAGTCGAATTTTAGTTTCTCATACGTTCAAAGGTTGCATAAAATCGAAATGTAATTTTGAAATTCAATTGTGTTGAATAATTGATGGCATTTTTTTGCCACAACTGCTATCTGCTATTGTATCTCAGTGTTTTTATAGGGCCGCTAGAAGAAATTTTGCATTTTTGCCGTATTCACAGTTCGATATGAAGTGTTATTACAAACTGGTGGAGATGCCCTATATCACTGTCTTGAGTCGAAATTTTGATGAAAATACGCAAATTGAAATATGATCAGTACGGTGGATTCCTCTTTGAACCGGCTTTTCAATGAGGGGTCGCAAGCCATAGGGTTGCATTTGAAACATGTTGGGGTTGATTCCAGCTACCCCTGGAGGGTTATATTCACCATATTGCTCGCTAAATGTAGGTAAATACATTTAAACGTTGACGTGTCGAATTTTCAGAAAAATCATTCACTCCTCCAGTAGCGAATTTATTCCAGTTAAAGTCTCCACCCTGTATATATTTTTACCTTCATGTGTACCATACAACTACGTCATATATAATATTTCCCAAGCCCTCGTTCAGAATGTCGGAAAATGCTGATCATTTTCAAAATTTGCATAAAAAGGTACATGTACGAAATCTGGTTATGCAGAGGATTTCGGAAATATTTACAAAGAACTATCCACTCGGGCTCCCCTTCAGATGGCTATAACCCCCCAGAGGGACATTTTTGGACCCATGTTTATATGAACTTATTTTGCCATTTTTGTTCCTCGAATCTGTGGTTGGAATCATTCTATGTGATTTTGGGACACCGGTGTACCTCACTTATGCTTATGTCCTCCTTATTACGCGATGAGCATGACGCGAGTGCGCCGTTTTATTCTTATCACAGAAAGTGCCCAACAGGCTTATAGAAGTTATCAATTCAAAAATAATAAACGTCCTTCTTTAAACCACGTTAGCATCGACCATGGTCCATCATCAAGTATCAATTTCTTCAATAAGTTAACTTCGCAATTTTTCTAGTGTCAACTAGGTTTCAACTTGAGATGAATTCAAATTATTGAAAAAACAAGGTATAGTATTTACAAAGTTAGTTGAAGCGCCTTGAGCAAGATGTCCGACACGTGCAGTCGGTGCGTTTAAACTTCGGACTATCAGCGCAACATATGTGTTTTGCTGGAGCTGCACGAATTTCTTTTGGAGACTATAGAGGGTATTATTTAATTGATGACTGCAAATAATGCTCATTTTAAGAAGAAGAGAAATTTTTGAATGGGTGTCCCAAGTGTCCCCTTAAATTTTTTGTCGATCCCCTTAAGTCTATATTTGAATTTCCCGCCGATCATATTGCCGGTTGTTGACGGTTGACAGGGACGCTTGTCAATTTCAAGTTTTGGAGGGAAAAGTAGGAAATAAGGAGGGGAATGTGGAAAAGGATTAGGTAAGAGTTAGAGTTAGAAGTTTTTTATGGTCATGTTAACACCCTATAGGCTCGAAAGTTAAGAGGTTTAGGGTAAATGATCATATAAATTCGTCTTCTTAAAATGAGCTAAGGAACCATAATCCTACATTTTCAGCCATCAATTAAACTACACCCTGTATGTAGATCATTTGAGATGTTTCTGTTCAATCTCATTCCCATAGATCGGTGATTGATTCTCAAATGGTTCTCTCAGTATACATGCATGATTGTAGTGTGTGGTGTTTTTCTTCATGTTTCTCACTATATTATTATTATTATCAGTATTGAAGTTTAATGGCTGAGTATTTTGTACTTGATTATGCATGTGTTTATGCAGAATTGTGAGACAGTGGGCGACAGATTACCTTGTATATTTTTGATGTGGTCTAAACATTAAAGCTACATATGAAAAAATAGTCTTCAGATTCACAATAATTCACATATTATACAGGGCTTCCGGAAATTATGCGCTAAAGATCAAAGTTTTGATTCTACATGAAAAAATAAGAAATTCATTTTATATGTACATGGGTCCGGAGATGCATTGTTTTCAACATACAGTGTGTTGAGACTTTTAAAAAAGATAGGTTTTTTATGAATACCTCAAATGTCCATCCACCGATTTTCTTGAAATTTGGCAATGATATTTTTTGTCATTAGGGGCTGATATAGCCATAATTCCATTGGGAATATGAAATCCAGTGCCGTCTTGGGGGCAACCTACCGAAAATTATTGCCAATAAAATGCCCTACTGATTTTTTTGAATTATGTATCTTCATAACCTATTGACCAACTAAAAATACAACATTTTGGTCTCTTGAATTGTTTTGATAATGTGCTTCATTTCCATGGAAAAAAATAAATACCAATTTATTAGATGAATGCGTGATCAATTTCCATAGACATAGAGTAAGAATGAAGATTCATTTTCTTCAAATATTTCTTGATACTTGTTCGACACACTCTACACTCTGTATATTGAGAACTATGTATTCTTGGTTCAGGAAGGCGTAGTTTTCGATAATACAAAGTGTGTCAAACATGTATTGTATATGAAATATAAGATGAAAATGAATCTTCATTCTTATTCTACATATATGGACATGGATCAGGCATTGTTTTTGAAGCAGTTTTGCACAAATATACACAATGAAATGGTATTTATTTTTTCCAGGGAAACGCAGCAAAATAGCAAAGCAATTCAATTCAAATCAGTGGCGCACATTTTATTGACAATAATATTCGGTAGGGTGCCTCCGGGACGCCACTGGATTTCACAATTCCAATTTAATTATGGCTAAATCAGCCCCTCATGACGAAGAATATAGTTGCCAAATTTCAAGAGAATCTATGGAAGGATATTTGAGATGTTCATAAAAAAACGATTTTTTTCTAAAAAGTTTAACACACATGTTTTCTCATGCAGAATCACCCCCTTGATTTTTTGCTCTTAATTTCCGGACACCCTGTATATTCCCAGATATATTCCCGAACTTGTTCCTGAATAATTTAATATGTGATATATAACATAATATACAGGGTGATTTACGGAGACCACACATTGGAATTTTTTCAACTTGTAGTTGAATTAAATACTTGAAAATTGGTATGCTCTTATAATCAATCATCACTAAGATACCTGAAATATTGTTAGTCCTTCAGCTATACAGGGTGTGCTGAAAGTCAACAGCAACTTTCATATTTCAAATAGAAACCTAATTTTTTTTCACATGGATTTAGTGGCCTTCTAATATCCATCACAGTATTTGCAATATGCTGATTTTTTTTTTAAATAATTACCCTGCTCATGAAAACATTTGTATCTGGCAAACTGTTCAAAATTAGAGCATCACATTTGTGGATTAGTTTGCTGGAGGTCCAGGCTAAATCCTGGTGTTCCATTTTTGGTCCCATTATCTGAACCATAATATGGGCACAGGTGATTCTTAAATGTAGCATTGAAAATTGCAGAAAATTGAACTTCATCAAATGGCACTTACTATTATTTATTTCAACACCATATGAAAGAAAATTTAATTTGATGATGAATTACTCAAGAATTCCATATTTCTAACTCAACCACCCAATCCTCCATTAATATGATTTGATTGATTTGTATTCACTATACTCTAATATATACACCAACTTTCTTATTTCAAATAAAAAAAAGATTTTTTCATAGTGTTTTCTAATTCTGAATTCAGGCAACCAATTCATGACAACTTATCAATGTTATTTATACAGGGTGTCCCATAAGTCATGGATCAAAAGAAGTGGGGTGGTAGGAGGGGTCATTCCCAATCAAACTAACCATATGTGGTTATCCAATTATTGTTGATGGTTCAAAAGTTATTAATGTTTTTTCATTTATATAAAAATAATTAATTACAATAAAACTATGTCACATTTGTGATTTTTTCTTTCACAAATTTCATCCACATGGATGCACCATTTCCCAGAAATAATTTTATGACATGTATTAGTTCTTATCAATCACCTGAGAAAAATGTTGTTTTCCTTGAGTTTTGTCATCAAATGCAATATTCAAGGCAATTTTTAAATGCCATTGGCAGATTTAAAAACTACCCCACAAAGACAACTATGCATAAGAAAAAGTTGTCCATTTAATACAGATTCCAAAATGGTTTTTCAGAAAAATTGAATAACTTTTGAACCATAAACAATTTGATAACAACATTTACCATTAGTTTGATTACAAATGACCCCCCCTACCACCCCACTTCTTTTGATTCATTACTTATGGGACACCCTGTGTAATCTGTTTTAGTTATTGTTACTATAGCTTTCTAATATTTTAACAACAAAAAAATTGGTCAGAAGAAATATTGGGCAAATCTAGGCAAATCTTCTTTGATTGGAACAATCCATAAAATATACTGAAGAAATTTCCAATTTTGGATTAGAATTATCATTAATTTATGATTGAATATCTGGAATTATATTTTTGCAATGATTGTCATGGCTTGTGTAAATTTTGCTATAATGATATATGATAAAAATGGTTAATGTTGAGCTGTTCCATGACAACACCATGTTGGGATTTTTCTGTAGAATTACTAGGTATATGGTTTTTTCTTCCCTGGGAACCAAAATATATTCTTTCAGTGGGATAGGCACATATTGGTTTGGTTGTTGTAATATTCAAATCTGACCATCATGAACCCTTGTTGCATTAACTGCAACCTAGCTGATTTGAAACTGATTAGAACTACAAGTTCATTTATAAATTTAATGTGTATTGTATTATATGGTATATTGCATATTCTATGTTATTTAATAATATTATTATTATTTGTATATGAAAAAATAAGCATCCTTTATTTGATACATATTGGCCTTGTAATGTTAATAACTATAATGTTCTTCAATCATTTCAATTGCTAGGGGGTATTACTTCCTGTGAGATAAATGAATGAATCATATCAGCCAATAGGTGAGTATTGCAAAACAACAATGAAACCCAAACAACTTGTAAATTGTTGTGTACTTATCTTCACACCATGTGAAAATTAAGCATTTAGCTTAGAATTAGGTGAGGAAATAGTTTTCTGCTCACTCAAATAATCAAAGCAATAGACAAATATAAATACCTTTAATTTTGGTATGCTAGCAGGTTTTTCTGGTCCATAAGCTCCTATAGCCCCCCTTCCTTTTCTCAACTGGGCTTCTACAGGTGCAGATATGCCCTGCAAGTCTTTTCCCAAGCCTTTTCCAGGCTGGAAGCCCATCTGGAGCAGCAGCTTGGCCCCTATACCTTTTGTGTGTTTTTCCCAATTGCCAACACCTCTGTTAATCAATGATGGATTCAAGGTGTTTTTTCTACGTAAACCTGCTATTTCTCCTGTGGTTTCTGTCATGGTGGCTTGTTGGGATTTTTGGAATCTGCTCTTACCAAAACCTAAAATAATGTAGTAGTATAATCACAGATTATGTCAGATAAATAGGTGCTTACCTGCCCTAGGTGCTTCCTCTTCAGATTCATCTGAACTATTGGTAGTTTTGAAAGAAGTTGTTGGCTCATCATCTGATCCCTCTTCTTTCTTAATTGCATCCTGATCATTGTCTTTGTTCTTTTTTCCAGCCTGCTGAATTCCACCTGCTACAAATCCAATGGGTGCTGTGTAACTTTTTGGTTGTTTTCTGGACTTGAATGAAGGTTTTTCATCATTGTCATCCTCACTATCATCTGCCCATATACCTGTGGTTGAAAAAAAAATTAACATTGCAGGAGGAATACAAGAAGTGTTGCTTTGATTTACCATAAATTTGATGATGTTTGCTCTGCTTCTTGCGGTTTCTATGAATGTTGAATTCATTGTCCAGATCATAATCTGTTATTTCAAACTTTTCCATCTCATCATCAGACATGTTTGGAACTTCAATAGTTCAGAATGGTTCAGAGATGATATTAATGATGAATCTTTTTGATTTATTATTCAAGACGAAAAAGGTGCACAAAATTCAGGGAAATCAAGGACTACAAATCTACAATGATGAATATTCAAAAATGTTCATGTCATGCATTATCAACCACTGTGGCACTGTGTTGAGTAGAAAGTCGGAGTTCCACTTCCATTACTCTTGTATAAGTAGGAAGCACCAGCATGCTAAGCCCTGCCACATATTATCAGATCTCAAAGCAAGTTGGGGTTGTTAATATTTGGTAATTCGGATTGGAAACTTTGGGAATATGGGTAAATACTCAGAAAAAACGCAAGACTCGCAAAGAGAAAGAGAGCCTTGTTTGTTGGGTCTCACGAGGATTGACAGTGACAAGAGACAAGACTGGACAAGACTGACAACAGTGACATATGACATCTCACATAATTATGACAACTTGACAAGAAGGCTAGACTCTTGGGCTAGACCAATGAGGCTAGACTCGACCAGAACAGTGTTGCCAACAGCCAATTTTAAAAACAGATATGATTGTTGGAAAAAGAGGGTGCGTTTTTCATTCCAACATTTTATCATGCGCATGAATCGAAGAAACCATCAAACTGTTGCAAAATTCCGCTGGAATGTTGATGGACATCCATCAAACTGTTGTAATAAAATGCGCACTTTTAAATCGCATTTCGAGAATCCAGCAGTTTGGAGGAGATTGACATGACAGTTGACACATTTTAGTGTTGTTTTTCGTTCTGATTCGATCGAAAACAATTAATATTGAGGATTTTTGAGATTCTTGAGAGGTTTTAGAAGAAAGAGTCAGTGTTAATCAATAAAGTCGAATTAGCCTTTTCTGATTCTCAAGATACATGATGACTGACACACAACAAAATCCGTGTTTCCATCATTGTGTTGTATAAACCATTGTTCAATCCTTCCAGCATAAATTCCAACAGAACAATTGGTGACGTCACGACAAAAAACCGCATCTATCAGTGCGCACTTTCTTCGATGGAATGAAAAACACGCCCAGACTAATAAGGGACGAGGTATCGGGACTAGAGTCTAGCCATAGCACCAGTGCGAGAATATTGCGCCTGGTGCGCAGGTCGCTGGGCGCGAGAAATTGCAGCGAAACAAAAATAAATAAGTCATTGTGAAATGATATTGCGCGTCGCTCGCTGCTAGCTGGGCGCGAGAAATTGCAGCGAAACAAAAACAAATAAGTCATTGTTGTGAAATGATACATTAGACAACTGCTTCCCTAGTTGATACCATGTTACAGGGTGATCCCTAGAATCGTGACACACCTCAAATCAATTTATTCAAATTGAATTAACACTGTACTGTTCATAATTATTACATATATATATATCCCCAGATAGCACGAATATTCTCAGAATATTCTTACAAGCTGCGAAAATGTCATCTTCTAGAATAATATTCTGAAGAATATGCATAGAAAGTTCTCAGTATGTTGCGAATATTTATGGAATGTTCCATGCGAATATTCTGATAGTATTACATGAAAGTACATTCCTAGAAGCTCCTGGGATATAATATTCCAAAATGTTCATTGAATAATATTTTCAGAATATTGTGAACATTCATGGAATACTTTGCGAATATACTAATGATATTCTGAAAATATGTTCCAATGCATGAGCTTCTGAAATGGAATATTCTAGAATGACAATGTTCAAATATACTTATTTCAGAATATTCTAACATAATGTCCTTAAAATGATCATAAAATATTTTCATCCTGCAACGAATATTCTATGAACATTCAATTTGACATAGATACACAAGAATATTCTTTTCGAATATTCTGAGAATATACAGAATCGTATCAAATTATGAAATTGATGTTATTATTCATGTATTGATAAACAAAGTGTTCCCCTTACCAAACCCATTATTATAATGGTTGTATGCCACTAAGTGTTGAGATCTTCCCATTCATATCATTCATTAAAAAGGTCTGTAGCTCAGTGGTTAAGGTGACAGGTAAATAACTATGTAGGTTCGCAAGCCCGCACCGGAGCAAGCTTTTTTAAATTTTATTACTATAAATATACCTACCAGTAACATTCTCAGAATATCTAGAACAGCCCTCTTTGTATATCCATAGACCCGTTCCTAGAAAATATTCGTATAATATTCTGAGAAGGTACCTACTTGTGTGTGCTATCTGGGTAATGATATAATATAATAATATCGCAGCGATCTAAATTAAATATATTGAAAATGGTAAAAGATACACAGTTTAAAATTTAGGTATATTTGATAGACAAAAACAAACTCAAAATATTCCTAAAATATAAAGTGTGTTCGAAATAGGAACAATTATAAAAATGAAATTTCGAACAACAAAAAATAAAACAATTGAACTCTGAGAAACTAAAAGTTAGAGGGGCGGTCAAAAATGAACGAGAAGACTCCTGTATATAGTGCAAACAGGGTGATTAACGGTGAGGGCACACATTAGACGTTTCTGGTGAACCAAACATCATCAAACTGACAATTCTCTAAAATATTTTTGACAATGTGGCGTTGCCACTTCTATTAGAAAGTTTGTAGCAACTGCGATATTTTTCATTGCATTTTCAGATTTTCCCTGAAGCGCTGATTTCATCACTTGGGATCTAGCGGGAATGACTACAGAGATGGTGTTCAAAATCGAGATTTTTCAACTTTAGGAGTTTTATGTGTCAAAACAATTCAATATTGGTCGAATCGCCTAACAAGTTTTCATCTCAACTTTTGATTCACTACTGACATTCCAATTGGAACAAATACAAGGTGATTAAAATTTTTAATCTTTTTCCACCCCGTAGTAATTCGAATTAAATGTCAGTAGATAGTGAATAAAAAGTTGAGATAGAAAAATGTAAGCCATTTTTGACCAATAATGAATTGTTTCGACGTAAGAAAATCCAAGTTGAAAAATCTCGATTTTTGATGAAATCAGATTTTCAGATATAATATCAAAATGCAATGAAATACAGGATGTTCCGTTTGAAATATCAAAGTTGCTACTACTTTCCAATATTGGTAGCAACACCGCATTGTCGAAAATATTTTATCAAGTTAGAGAATGTCAGTTTATACTACAGTGCAGACTCGATAATCCGAACTAATAAAAACCAAGGCGATTCCTTCGGATTACCAAAAAATTCGGATTACCGAAGCAGTTTTTTTTTTAATTTTTCATTAGGAAATGCAAAAAAAAAAACATAAATACGAAAATGTAACACTAAAATATGCATAAAAGTAAGAATATATAATACTAGTTTCTAAAGTAATTTGTAATTTTTGTTTGCTTAGCACATCTTTGATTATTTATAGAGTTCATTTCTTTTAATCTTTGAAGTACAAGAATATCATTAAACTATTAAACGGAATATTATTTTCTTCCTTGCGTAATGTGAATCCCAGATACTAACAAAAGAACAATTAGGGGAATCCCTGAACATTTCACTCACAATTTCTATAGGAAATGAATAGGCCTAAAGGTATAGGTTCGGATTATCGAGTACTATGAAATTCGGATTATAGAGTATTCAATGTATTAAAAATGCTTGTTCGGACTACTGAAGAATTCGGATTATTGAACGTTCGGATTATCGAGTCTGCACTGTATTTATCAAATTTTCAAAGTAATTCGATGTCTGGTTCACCAGAAACGTTCTTATCTGCTCTCACCGTGAATCACTCTGTATACAATCAAAATTATAATTTCCTGTTCAGAATTAAATTTATTGCAACTGTCTCCGATTTTTCTGCATCGGGTTTCGCAATTTCCCTTTTCAAAGTTTTTTTCTTCTTTTCAGTTGAAAAAAGTCGTCTTTGCGGCAAAATTGATTTAGGTTGACTATGTCGTCCCGCGCCGCACGGCCGCAACCCTTCTCGCCTCGCTTCTCGCGCTCGGCGAGCGAGCGAGCAAGCAACGAAATTTTCTGTTTCTCGCGCCCAGCGACCTGCGCACCAGGCGCAATATTCTCGCACTGGTGCTATGGCTAGACTCTAGTGGTATCGGGCGTGTTTTTCATTCCATCGAAGAAAGTGCGCACTGATAGATGCGGTTTTTTGTCGTGACGTCACCAATTGTTCTGTTGGAATTTATGCTGGAAGGATTGAACAATGGTTTATACAACACATTGATGGAAATATGGATTTTGTTGTGTGTCAGTCATCATGTATCTTGAGAATCAGAAAAGGCTAATTCGACTTTATTGATTAACATTGACTCTTTCTTCTAAAATCTCTCAAGAATCTCAAAAATCCTCAATATTAATTGTTTTCTATCAAATCAAAACAAAAAACAACACTAAAATGTGTCAACTGTCATGTCAATCTCCTCCAAACTGCTGGATTCTCGAAATGCGATTTAAAAGTGCGCATTTTATTACAACAGTTTGATGGATGTCCATCAACATTCCAGCGGAATTTTGCAACAGTTTGATGGTTTCTTCGATTCATGCGCATGATAAAATGTTGGAATGAAAAACGCACCCTATCCTTAAGGACTTTAAGGAGTGACAATGATACTATAAATACGGGCCTTGATATCAATAATTAAATTGATTGAATAATCCTTTCGGCTTTTGGGACTCGTAAGTTTCGGATTAGTTTGATGATGAAATGAACTGACACCTAACATGCGGTGGGGACATCTCAGGTGGGGAGTTGATCCTCCTAAAGACAGGGCGCAACAAAGAATCCATGCGTTAAAAAAATGAGGGGTATTCCGGCGCCCTCGTATGTGACTTTCGTTTATTTACTAAACCCCCAGACAAATTTTATTCGTCTGAGAGCCTAAACCTCAAACACAGGAACGACCCCTGGATAGCAATGTCAACTGTCAGTTTATTCCGAAGCTTATCAGTGCGAAATTGAAAATTCAAATTCATCATCTGTCCACTCTTTATGAGGGCCTTGTTTCCTCTTGGTAACAGCAGAGCTAGACCTGCATGACTACAATACAATTTCAATAATAAGTCCTCCTCCAAGATTGACACATCCCAATAAACACCATTACGTAATATTCATGCAGAATTTACATAATTTTGCTCCTTTGGAAGTAACATTTTACGTAAAATGTAACTTGCATTTACATGCCCCAACTGGAGATAATGTCCGGAACAAGTGCATCTCATGTTCACTTGAATTTTACGTAAAATGTTTACTCAATAATTATATAACTTTTTTATGTAATTTCGCCATTACCATTTGACTCAGGAGGAACTTCA